GACATGGATGAATCTCACAGACCTAACGATAAGCAGGACCTTTTTTTTTTTTTTTTTTTTGGAGAGAGAACACACATGTTTAGGAAGTGGGGGGAGGAGAGGGAGACAGAGAGAGAGAATCTTAAGCAGGCTCCACACCCAGCTCAGAGCCCCACTCAGGGCTTGATCTCAAGACCCTGAGATCATGACCTGGGCCGAAGTCAAGAGTCAGACTCTTAACCGACTGAGCCACCCAGGCGCCCGGAGATTGGACCCTTCTTATCTTCAGTATCCCCAGCAGTGAAATGGAGTCCATGATCTTTGCCCACCCCACAGGCCACAGGTAGGTGCAAGTACTTATACTCACTAAGATGCTGTCAGATAGCAGGCTCTGTTATCTCTAATCTATCCCCTCTTCCCTGACGACACACAAACACACTCCAATCAAATTAAAGCCCATTTCCCATTTCCAGTCCTCCCATGCCACTCTGTCCACCTGGGAAGCACTGCTCTGTATTTTCCAGATCATCTCATCTCCATAGACCAATCTCCAGCCTCATCTATGGGGTGGGTCCTTCCATCACATCCTTGTCTCATCGCCCCCTCATGGAGCACTTATACACACACTCATGCTCCACCTTACAAGGCCAAGGGCCACTTCCTACCACCATGTCTTGTATTTGAGATTCTTAATTTGCAAAATAGAAACAATTATACATACTTTGTAGAGTAGTTGTGAGAAGACTGTATATGGAAAAGATCAGACATATTTCAGGCATTGAGTTGGTGTTCAGTAGTGATAGCCTTTGCCATTATCCCTTTATTCAATTATTTCAGATAGAAAGTAGGCTTCAGAATCTCCTTCGTGAGATTGTCCTCCTTGTGGTAGCCAGAAGCAAATTAAGCGATTTACACTCCTTGGTATATACCAAGGATAAATGATTGCATGTGTTCACTCAGAGAAATATGCAAGAACAATCATAGCAGGTTTACTTTGAAAAGACAAAAAAAAAAAAATCCAAAAGTGCATCAATAGGAAAATAGAAAAATGGTTTATAGTCATGCACTGGAATACTGCACAGCAATAAAAACATGCAGCGACATGGATGAATCTCACAGACCTAACGATAAGCAAAAGAAAGCAGACACAGAAGTGTGTACGTGCTCAGATTCTATTTATGAACCTCAAGAACAGGTAACATTAATCTTTGATGATAGAAGTCAAAATAGCAGCTGTCTCTGGAGAGTGGGGGATTTTGACTGAGAAGGGCAGATGAGTTTCCGGGGTGCTGGAAATGATGTGGGTAGTGGTTACATGGAGGCATAGATAAGCAAAAATTCAATAAACTGTACACTTGTGGAATTTTTAATGTATAGGATACCTCATTAATTTTTTTTAACATGGCTTAGAACTCCACACCCACAGAATGAAGAAGGAAGGTCAAACCTGTATAATAAGATACAGAGGAGGTGAAAGTGATGGATGGGTGGGGCTAAGAGTGTGTATGTGAGAAGTAGTTCTAATTTTTCCCCATTCATTCAGAACATCTGGTTCCTTAATGCTTTTTAGCTAATCCTGATGTATACTGCTTGGGTATTCATTAAACCTCTGCTTTCTTTTATTTTTTTTCTAGTTTTTACAAAATAATCTTTGATTTTGCTCTCCATTCAAGAAAGCTAAATCAAAACACTTCTCTCCCTTTCTGTGCATTTCTTCTCTCCATGTTTTCTCCACCATACAACTTGGTGTGAACTCCCCAAATTCCTTTGCCAGCTCCAGCCCCTAGTTCTTCTGTTGATTGGATTTTTCTTCAACTATTACTCTCCTGTACTCTTGCCCAAATTTAGTGTAGTGTGTTAGTTAGCTGGACGTAATTCAGCTGTGCATCCTCATTAGGACATCAAGAATATATTTCACACTCTTTGATCCAAAGTTAAGAATGTTTTTCCTTACTCTTTCCTCCCCCCCCCTCAATTCACAGGCTCAGCAACAGCACCTGCTTCACAGAAACAAGGCTGGTCCTGTTCTGATTTCTCTAGTCTTCCTTTAAAAACCAAATGGAGATCAACAGTCCCTCTTCCTGACACACACTGAAGCAAAAAGAGACAC